CAGTGTACGAATACTTTCTACACCTACTGTAGAATACCATTAAGTATAAAAGAAAATGATTAAAACTACAATTTCACGCAAGACTTTTTGGGAAATTGATCGATGTACGAATACATTCTACACTCACTGTATATTTCCAATTCTGTTTATGAGCTGTACGCCATAAACGAGAAAGATCGATCGATATACATATTAACGAACGTATCGAAAATTTCAATGAAACAACAAAGTTTCCAAATTCAATTCTCAATACCTTTTGTTAAGCGTGTTTTTCTGTCAAAGACAATGATTACACGAAATATTATACGGTAATCGAATTCCTAGTTCAAATACTGTTTACGAGACGTGACAGAAACAGGAAAAACCGGTTCAATATCTCGATTATTATACCTTCCATTGAAACTTTGTATAGAATAAAAAAATGTCCATGTTCAATATTCAACAACTTTTGTAACAGCCAATTTTGTTGTTACAACAACGGTAATCTGGTATTAACATGGCTCGAATTATGTTTAGAAGGTGTGTGCTATAAACGAGAGAGATGTCATAAATATATCGATTATTATACTATCTATCGATAACTCGTAAAGGTTTTAAAATTGAATTTTGTACAACTTTGTTCAAAAATTTTGCTGTAAAAGTTAATCCTTTGCCTTTAGATGACGCAAATATGCGTCATTGAGATATATTTGTACTTACTTAAAATTATACTATATTATACATTGTTTATAAATGCCATAATTAATGTTTCTGGAGATAGAACATTTGTATACGTTTTTAATGTTTGGTTTTATCATTTACTATCATCAACTATTGTGAAATGAGACAGATTATCTTTTCTTGTGACACTTAAGAGTATGTTTCACGTATTAATTTGAGAAATAGAAGTATAAATGGCACGAACTTTTAGGACGACCTAATACAAAGATTGCTATTTTATGTATCGGTTTCTGCAACGAAATTTGAATCTTATGGAGAGTTGAATAAACATTCGGTTGCAAGTATTTGTTTATCTTTCAGAACGATTCTTTATAATTAAAACTGAATCGTTCGTATTTACAGTTAACCGCGCACGAAGAAAATTTCCTTCGTCGAATAGTTATTATTCGTCCCTATTCGCAAAAAGTTTGCCACCCCCTGCTTCGAGCGCATCTTAGCCTCTGGGTAACGAAGCGTTCTCATTGGTCCCCGTCATCCCCACTCCCCGCTCGGTCATCGTCGCGTCTCGCCGTGCAGCTAGATCGCTCGCAGTCTCGCGTCGCCCTTCGCGTGGTTCGTATCGTTTTTATTCCGTTCCCTTCTCGTCTCGGTTTTCTCTGTTTACTCGATTCGGCCAACGTAGTGTGTTCAAACCAGTGTCGCCCTCGGACTATCGCCGTGTACATTCGACGCATCGAGCGACAGAGTCGATAATTCGCGAGCAGTGTTTGTCCAGAGTTCGTTGTGATCGCAAAAGGAGGCGATGCGAATGGTGTTCGAAGCAACGCGGCTCTTTCACGCTCTCCCGCGTACCTCTGAAACTCGAGCCCGTAGCGTCCATAGTCTTCGCGTTAATCGAAACTTGGTTGTTCCTCTCATTCCCCGTGGCACTTTTCGTCGTCGGTGGTAGCAGGTGGTGGTGGTGGTGGCGGTGGTGGTGGAGGAGAAGAGCGAAGGGGAAGGGGGAGCGACGGAACAAAAGTTTTCGACACAGTGGCGGCGGGAACTGAGGCGCTCTCGTCGGGAGGATAAGGGAAGCGGCGTGGAATATTTTAACATATATCACGGTGAAATTGGGACGAGGGTATGCTGCCGCGAGGCTGCTCCCCTCCCGCGGCACTTTCGACCCCCGTGCCCAACCCCCGGCCGTAGATCGCCGGTTAGCTTGTCCCACGGCGCGATTTGACTTCCTCTCGACGGTTTCCTGCGTACGCTGGCGATATGTTTGCCTGCCCTGCGGACTACGGCAGTTACAAAATGGTGAGGGACGAAGGGTGAAAGGAAGATATCGTTGGTTTTCAGATGGCGCGCGTGCGCGCTCGACTTCCGTTTTCAGTTTTTCAAATAGCGTTTATCGCTAACCGATGTTTCGTTTGTACCTACAGTGGGTGTGGAATGTATTCGTACACCAATCAATTTCCCAAAAAACTTTCGTGTGCGATTGTAGTTTCTTAACTTCTATTTTTATCGGAAGTCTCTAAGATAGATGTAGTCCAAACAACATTTACTAGTTAATATAATTTGTGAAATGAACAAAAAAATGCGAAAAGTGGGTAAAATCATAGAAGCAATAAGTATTTGTACGATTTTTATGACGAACCATTTACAGTAGAGTTTGTAACTTAAACACATTAGTTTATTGCTCCGTACGAATTAGAAAACATCAAATTTCCAGAAATGTACTTTTAAAAATGGCCTAATAGAGGAATTCAATAAGATCCCACTTCGAATACCTAATAATTTAGTTAATTTAATTCTTAGAAAACTTACAATAATTATGAAATCAAAAGGAAATCCCACGAAGGAAGTATCATATACATTATAAATTAATGTAAATTTCTTTCTTTTTTAATCAAGTTTTAAAAATTAAACAGTTGTGCGAATACTTATTGCTTCAACATTTCTATCAATTAATTATTTCTTTCTTTTTAATTTCGCAACTTACATAAATAGCTATTTATTTTTGTAATCTATCTATTCTAGAGATTTCCGAGAATATGTAGAAAGTCATTGCTTATCAAAAATAAGTTATTAAATCACAATTTTACATAGTTTTTTTAGAAATTGATCAGTATACGAATACTATCTACACCCACTGTATTTCGTGATCGGATAAATGATTAGTATTAAAGACACTTTTTTTTAATTCAATGCAAAACTATTCAAATTGAGTGAATGAAATAAGAGTATATAATTTATGTATACAGGGTCTTCAGGCTATTACTAGCGTTTTTCTTGTAAATGGTACATATGGCACAAAACTGAAAAAGGAAAAAGTGGTACTGTTTTTATGTGCAATGTCCGAATCCACCCTATGATTCGTATTCTTGTTTAACTCCTTATTTTTGGGTAACTGAAGGTGACCTTCAGTTTTTTAAATGGAATGATATATTTTGTATACAAAAATATGGTAGAGTATCGAATTATAAATAAAAAAGTATTGACCTTCATTAGCCCACAAGCTAATAGGTAACGAGAATGATAACATTTCGTTTGTACGTGATTGTACCACCAATAGTTTCGTTTGTACCTTCATCAATTAATAATTAAAAAAAATTCAAAAAATGGTCAGCGCCTGATATTGAGATTTTTGAAATCTGGTTTTTCCCTCTTCTTTAGAATGGTTTGTACCTGTTTGTACCGCTTTTTGTTTCGTTTGTACCTCGATAGTTTAAATTTTACAAGCAATTGTTTATACGCGTAAGAAGGAAGTTTTTCAATTTTCTAAATTTTTAAAATCTGTTTTTTCCCCATTCAAATTTTATAATTCAACCATATTAACAACTGTTTGTAAAATTTAAACTATTGAGGTACAAACGAAACGAAAAGCGGTACAAACAGGTACAAACGATTCTGAAGAAGAGGGAAAAAACAGATTTCAAAAATCTCAATATCAGGTGCTGACCATTTTTTGAATTTTTTAAATTATTAATTGATGAAGGTACAAACAAAACTATCGGTGATACAATCAAGTACAAACGAAATGCTATCATTTTCTATAGAAAAAAAATTAATTTTTGAAAAGTCGGGTGCCAGGATCACATAGCTTTTGTATATACTTGATTTCAGTCTTGTCGATTTGTTTTTAAATCTCCTCAACTACTTCACAACAAAATTATTTACTCTACATAATGTCCCTCTTGTAGTATCGCTCCCTCTAATATCCAAGAATATGGAGTCAAACGAAACAACAAATCGCGGGTTCGAAGCTCTGTGCTTTATTCTCCCTTTAGACTCCTACACTCTTTATACGAAATAACATTTGTAAGGTCACTAAACTTTACAGTAGCATATGTATATGTAGTATCACTAACCAAATAGAAATTAAATTAAATCCGTCCCTAATTACCAAGCAGTAAATAGGACGTAAAGTAAAACCATTTAAAAAGAAAGAACATTTGTAAAATTCTTTGAGATATTTAACCATTCCGTTCTTAACGAAACACTGCAGTATCTCCTAAAGTACTATTTATATAAAAGTTGATCAATGTCGATAGCTGCAAAACGTGCTTCTGTGAATGTATCAAATAAGAAACACTCATTTATGTCGTGTCGTGAAGGCTATAATTGGTATTCCAACAAATATTGGTGCCATTGAAGATAGTCCCTTTCTTGTTGCAACGTGTTGCTCTGAAACTGACTGAAACGTGTGCTGATAGTACTCGATAGTCCATGACTTCTGTCTCGAGACGAATCGCGCCATTTAATACATTAATCGCAGCGTCACAGGGATGTTTGCTAAGGAATTAACAAGTTAATTCTAAAGATCATGTGTTAAAGAAAACAAGTCTGGATAGGATTCGTGAATTTTTATGGGGTTATAGAAATAAATACTATCGCAAATGTTAGAGTATACATATAGTTGTATGTATAAGAACAAAACTTTAGCTTCACAAAATATTTTCATGAATATGCGTGGCATTCAAAGATTGCTTGCATTCACAGCGGGCTTACTTCTCTATTATAGTTTTATATTTTTAATTTAAGATCACGCCAAGTTCTATTATTAACCGACTTTGAAAAGGAGGAGGTTACTCAATTCGACATGTATATTTTTTTTTTCTCTTTAATAAATCTCTGTACAAGCTGTCAACAGACTCCGTTTTTCTTTTTCAATTGTTCGGCTGTCGTTTGTTTCGCAGATCTGTGTCAAAAAGCTCGCAGGGAGTTCGATCCCTTTTGCACAGATCGCTAATAGATGGCAACTCATATTTCAATGCCCAAAGTCGGCTCTTTCCTCACACTAATTCTACATTTTTTGTTTGTTTACGTTAATAACGTATGTGTTTCTTCTGTTGCAGTACGGCTCGGATGAATTTGGTCAGGACTCTCCGAGATACACCTCCCCAAAGGCTGCGGCGCTCTACGCAGACCCTTACTATATCGGTAAGTCGACGAATCATTTAAATCTGTTATTTTTCAATAGAAAAGACATACACCACCGTTTATAAATATGTGGACTACACTACCCACTTTCAATAAATTATTGATATACACAAAATAAATGATCTATATGGCTTAAGATTGAGTACTTACTAGCAAGGAGAACGCAACACCTTCGATTCACCGATTTCGTTGAAACGTTTCATACCAATAGATTGTATCACTCTTTACGAAAATGTAGTATTATGTATATGGGCAGACATTCGATACTTTTTAGATATTTATGATCAAAATTTCTTCGTTTCTAATTGCAATACTGCAATACATATATTGGTGTATATTGGGATATTGCAATTTAAGAAGAAGAATATTGTAATTCACTCTTCATTATCATATCTAAATAAAATATATATTTTGCGTTTTTATTATTGGACACATGGATTTACACTACAATTTTTCGTTAATTGCGCCGGCCCTGATTTTATATTATTAATTATATTATTATATTTACAAGTTTCTCGCGTGTCTAATTTATTCGCCACTCTCGATCATCCCAATCCTACATAACACAAAATTTTGTTGAATTTGGAGTATAAATGAGGTTAAAATCACATAAAGCAAATACAGTTACATACTTTCAATTTAAATAATATTTATTAAATTATTGTATGGTTTTCCATTTGCATAAACGTTTCTGGAAAGTTTTGCCCATACATTTTCAATAATATTCAGGTCGGGTGACCGGCCCGGCCACTCGAGAAATGTCACATTTTTAGAACTAAAATAAGTTTTAACAGATCTTGCGGTATGTATTGCAGCGGTATCACGTTGAAAAATAAACTTACTGGCTGCAATATGAGTTGCGTGCTTATTTAATTGATAGTCTATTAATTCAATGTATTTTTTGCTATTTACACGTCCTGATAAAAATTTATATCAGTTTTTCCCCGATATCCAATACCGGCCCACACCATGACACTTCCGCCACCCATTTGTCAACGACTTAAATACTGTTCTTCTTTCCTTATATCTAATATACAGGGTGTCCCAAAAGTCGGGGAGGAGCCGGAAATGGGGGG